GGCTGAACGTCGGGTGAAGAAGACGGCGGCTACGGCGACGGGAGTAGTCAGCCGTGACGTCGCATTTTCGACGTGGACGAACAATCGAGGCACGGAAGAATCCGCCGCGACTGCTGCTTCCGCTGGATGCTGACGGCGACGCGCGCTATAGGTATAGCTAACGGCTTTGCTAAAAATCAGTCGACTGAGACTTCGCGAAGTCTCAGTCGATACTACAATCTGTTGATCTTGCATTGAGATTTGTGCAAACAATTTTTTTCAGTTTTCTTTTTTTCTTGCATACTACATTGCTTGACTGAGACTTCGCGAAGTCTCAGTCGACTGAGACCTAGACAAACCCTATAGCTAACTCTTGGGGCTACGTGCGATGCCGCCTGTGCGCTGATGCGTGCAATGTTGGTGTTTCCTTCTGTGCCGGCGCGGCTGACGGTCGACAGTTTTTTTTCTTCTGTTGGACCTTCGTCGACGGCTGTTGAAGATGGTACACTCTACCGTATCTGGCATGCAGCCCTAACGATACGTAGCGACATAATCCGTATTAGAGCATCTCCAATGGCAGCGTCAAAAGACGCGCGCGGGGTAAAATGCCCATTTAGCGCGCGCGGCAAGTTTTTGCGCACTCCAGCGGCGGCAAGAAATAATCACGCGTGGTAAACGTTTGCGCGCGTGCCGGAGAAAGCTGGCGGTCGCGCGGTAGATTTGGCGCGCCGCTCCGCGCGCGCCTTTAAAATTGCGGCGCTCGCCACACGCTCCACCACACTGCCAAGCGCCCATTTTCCCGCCTCCTCGCCGCTTCCACCGCTTTCTCGCCGCTTCCTCCCGCTTCAGCGCCCCGCCACCACCGCACCACCATGCCGCCGCGCCGCCGGGGATCATCTGGCTACCGCGGCGTCTGCCTGCGCCCCTCCGGCGCCTACTACGCCGAGATCCGGTCCGGCAACGTCCGCCTCGGCCTCGACACGTTCGAGACCGCGCACGAGGCCGCCCGCGCGTACGACGCGGGCGGTGTGGCGCCTACGGAGGCCTCGCGCGCAGTTGAACTTCCACGACGTCTACACGTGCGAGCAGGCACAGCGCGTCGCCCCTCTGCCTCGTCTGATTACAGACCAGGACCGTGAGGACCACCATCGGCGGTAGCGCCGCCTCCTCATCGCTGACGAGGACGAGCGAGCCATGGCGGAGTGGCGCCGGCGCCACACGGAGGACGTCGCCGCCGAGAACGCCTTCTGGGCGGAGAGGACGGCAAGGCACCGCACGGAGAGTGCAAACAGGCGTCGGCGCAAGGCACTGGCCATATCGCAGTGCGATATCCTCGAGGCAGGCGGGACGTCGATCTTCTCCCCCGACGATGACCGTTGGGATGACAGGTGGCTCGATACCTCGGACAACACCACCGAGGATGATGATGATGATGATGATGATGATGATGATGATGAGGACGAGTAACAGTAGGTTCTAGTTGCACCGTAGTTTTATCAAGTTGCACCGTAGTTTTTTAATCTACTTGCACCATAGTTCTTTATCTATCTATACTATGAACTATTTAAAATATCTTTGTATCATTTTCTATCTATGCTATGAACTATATATCATTTTTTTACTATGAACCAAATATGTATGCACCGAAAAAAATATTTGTGCGAGCGCGCGCGCTGCATTTTAGCGCGACTGCTGGAGCTACACGCGCGCGCTGCAGTTTAGCGCGGTTGCTGGAGCCAGCGCTGCGCGCCGCGTCAAACCTGGCAATGGGCGCGTCGCAAACTAATTTTTAGCGCGCCGCGCGTTGGGCGGCTGCTGGAGATGCTCTTAGTTGAGATCTTCCAACAGCTTAAGCTACTCTGTGAATCTATGACGATGAGGCTGAAAGTCTGAATTTACAGTTGCATTGTACTATCCTTTTTTTTCTACTCCCTTTGATTCATAATAAGTGTCTCAATTTTATACAATGGTTAGCTTAATCTTACTTCAAAACTCCAACACTTATTTTAGATTGGAGAGAGTATCATTTTTCTTTAAACTGTATCATACTAGTATTTTGTTCCCTCTTGAAACCGTATCGGTACTATCATGTAGATGATGGTAATATAAATCAATAAAAACTTTCATTCCCAAAAGAAAAAACTTATCTTTTATCAAATTAAGGAGCCGTCGCTGTGGATCACTTTATTATATTATTAAAATTATAGGCAAACAAGCCATCACATCGCAGAGTTTAATAACCAATCCCCACGACGCAGTTTGGTTTCTTAAGCGTACATACGAGACACTAAGCTCGCCCGCCAAAAGTTAAAATAAGACACTAAGCAGTCTGGTTCCAGTGCCGTTGAACAGAATTATCCGATTCCTACGAGTCATGATGTAAGTTACGTGTCATGACATCGCTGCTTTTGTCAGCAATAAGTGATTGATTTGTCTTGTTTGTTCTTAATCCCGGTTGCACATCATGTTAGCATTTTATGGATTATACATAACGCAGCAACTCTCTGCAATACTATGTAAAGTCTACTTTAATAAATAGATATTATAAATCTGTCTTAATCAAAAGAAAATATAGGCAATCCTTAGTGTACCAGTCAATCTTAGCACGTACTCCCTCCGTCCGAAAATACTTGTCATCAAAATGGATAAAAAAGGATGTATCTAGATGTATTTTAGGTCTAGATACATCTTTTTTTATTCATTTTGATGAC